AGCCGGGCTCTGGATGTTAGGTAGAGTGTAAATGTAAACAGTTTGGGGAGTCCATTCAAGTCAAGAAGCAAAGGAGAAGTATTGTAAGTAGTAGCCGGGCTCTGGATGTTAGGTAGAGTGTCTTCTATTAATTGTCCATCGGCCCCCGAATCTATCTGCAGCTGCTTCTGTCCCTTTGCTCCAGAACTGGAAGCTGGGATTTGCGAAGGGCCAGAACTGACTTGCCTGCCTAGCCGTCAATGTCTTATCCCTAATTATAGGGTATTTTTGTATTTTACAGAGTGTAAATGTACAGTAAACAGTTTGGGGAGTCCATTTGAGTCAAGAAGCAAGGCAGAAGTATTGTAAGTAAGTTAACACATAATGCCAACATTGTAATGCGAGGCACCACTGTAATGCTCTTCATCCTGGGCATCAATGCCAATGATCTGCAAGGCCTCCCCACCAGCCTTCCTCATCTCTGGTATGGTGAAGTTACACAACCACACAACAGCGAGCAAGCGTAGAAATCACTGGCAACAGTGCAAAGCACAGCTCATACTTCTGGCCAACCCCTGAGCTGCCAAGTGCTGCCGCAGAGGTAAAATAAAGACCCTGGATGTATTCGGGCCAAAACAGAACCAAAAAGGATTTTTTTACAGGAACTGCCAACAAAGGACTGTAACATCTAAATGCAAGTCAGCCAACACCCTCAACCTTTCTAAATCACAACCCTTTGCAAGCTCCACTTCCTACCTGAGGCAGGGCCTCCGTCCAGCTTCGACACTAAGCCAGCTTTGCCTCAGCCTTGCTTCGGCAGGACCAGAAAATATTCTGTTTTAGGGCTGCACCTTCCAAAATCTCCCGCTAAACCGAACAACCTCTGCCCCTGCTTCCCTTTGGCTGGGTTAGGGCTCCCCACCAAGCTGTCCTCCCTCAGCCTCACTCACCATCTGCACCTGAGTCTGTCGCTGAGTTTCGCTCACTGTGGCTTGGAGGCCTTGGAGGAGGCGTTCCGAGGTTTGAATCTGAGCCAAAAGAACCTGAACCTGAAAAAAAAGAGAGGAGAAAAGAAATGATTAGTGATCAGTGAAAACAGCAGTCTGTACAAGACCCAGAATGGCACCATTGTTAAGGTGCTGGACCAGGACTGTGGAAACCCGTATTCAAATCCCTTGTCAGTCACAGGGTGCACCAGATGGCCTAGGTCAGCCACTACCTCTCAGCCAATGGATGGGAAACACACAGCCTTTGGGTGCTGCTGGACTGTGAGTCCCATCAAACTCTCACCGTTAGCTACGCTGGGCCGGGGCTAATGGGAGTCACAGCTCAAGATCATCCAGAAAGGCATCCTGTTTTGCAACCCAAATAGCCTAAACTATTTCCCAGATCAGCTGTGAGGACGATGCAAGGACCAGAGCAGATGATCTTGTATTTTTTTCATGATTCACAATAGTAAGAGGTCAGCTAAGTTTCAAGCTACACAGGGCAGCGGATTCCAAACATACCTGCTTACTGCATTCATCGTTGCTACGTCGCAGAGCCTCCTCCAGACTGGCCTTTTCCCGAGCTGCAGCTTCCAGAGCCTCCCGCTGCTGTTGCACCTGGAAGAAGACGACCAAACTGGCAACTGAAGCAGCAGGCTTCTGGTGCCATGCCTCAAGATTCTCCTTGTACACCCCATCCGCCCATTAACTAGAGGATCCCCCCCAAAAAGTAAACGGAATAGCAGCCACAGAGATTATAAAGCTGGTGGTATCCTTTACACCCTGCATTCCGCCTGACAAAAGACAGGCATAAAGATTTTTTTTCAAAAAACCTACCATTAACATGTAAGTCAAAAGAGGAAACATGCAGTGTAGCAGATCCCTCAAAACTCAGAAAGCCACAGCCTGATAGTTTTGCACCTTTTGGATCTGTCCACACGGTTTGATAAACTCTGCCTTGCCCACACACCTGTCCCTGCAGTTGTGTCCACTCCACCTCAGGCACCAACTGGTACCCAGCCGGTGGCAGATAGATGGTCTCCGGCACCAGGGTCCCAGTTGAGGAGGCGATGGACGCAGTCTCGGGGCTAGGAGGACGTCTGCGTCGGACGGGAGGTCCAGGACTTGGCGCCAAGGAGGAAAAGGAAGCAATGGAGACACTGTCGAGGCTACGAGCAAATTTCTCAGCCACTCCCCCTTCCCCTAAGGCAACGTGGTCCTCTCCAGGTGCGTCAGAGGGCATGGCCTCGGCATCAGCATGCAGGGATTCAGAGGAACTACATAAAGAACGCTGAGGGAGAGAGAGAAAAAGGTCTGTCAGAGCCAGGCTCCCTAAAACAAGGTAGGACAAAGACAACCTCCTGCAACCAGTTGGGAGCCTGCTGTCTGAGCTGGGTGGACTGGTATTACCAGGAATTTAAGGAGGAGCCCTTTGTTATCTTAGCACTGTAATTTTGACCCTGAAGTATAACAACAAACTTCTAGCTAGCAAATCACAATTAGTTCCTATGAATGATTTACTTAATATGATTTCCCCAGATCTGCAGCCATCTTCTAAAGGCTACCCTGATCTCAAAGGCCCAGTCACTCAACGTTATTTCCTTTGATAATTTACAGAGCCAACTATCTACTGAGTTAGAGAAACTGAAGATGAGTGGCCCTAGATTTTTGTCAAGGTGCACAAATGAAGGTTCAGTTCCACTTCCTCCTCCCCCCCCCCGGTTGAAACAACCATCACTCCTAGGCACACCCTTCTTCCTCAGTGATTTGCATTCCTAACCCTGTTCGGCAGTACTTGCAGCCATCCTGCTTTGCGCCACCTTCTTTCTCTTCAGTGCTCTCCTTCCTGCTTCCCACCGATGCCCATCTCACCTGCTCACCCTGCAGCTCCTGAACTAGCCCTTCAGCATGTGCCAGCTTTGCTTTCAGCTCAGCGATTTCTTGCTCCATGGGCAGCACAATGGCCCGGAGTCGCTGAGTATCTTCCTGGGCCTGTGGGGAGAGAGAGCACATACGTGGTTTCGTCCCAAGGGCCTTTTACAGTGATTCAGGGAACCCTTGGCTGCCCATCATTTACCTTTTCCATTTGTTTCTCCAAAGAGTCAAGGGGGCTGACCCTCGGCAGCAAGCGGGTCCACGTACTCTCCCGACTGTCACGTCCCAAAGTTGAGAGACGGGCTTCATAGCTGGAGATGGTATCTGTTGATAAAACAGAAGCACCTAGAAGGCCAGAATCCTGGATCCTAAAATCAGTTTAGGATTTCAATTACATGACGCTTCTTCCTCCTCAAAGGGAAAAAGGATGATCAGGGGACTGGTAACCAAGGCCTATGAGGAAAGACTAAATGAACTGGGCATTGAGAAAAGAAGACTGAGGGGAGATAGGATAGCACTTTTCAAATATTTGAAAGGCAGACATACAGAGGAGGGGCAGGATCTGCTCTGGATTATCCCAGAGTGCAGGACACGACACATAATAATGGGCTCAATCAACAGGAAACCAGATGTAGACTGAATATCAGAAAAAACTTCCTAACTATTAGAGTGGTATGACAACGGAACCAATTACCTCAGGAGGTGGCGAGTGCACCAACACTAGAGGCATTCAAGAGAAAGTTGGACAGCCGTCTGTCAGATCTGCTTTGATTTATACTCCTGCCCTGAGTAGGAGGTTAGGATTTAGCAGCCTTAGAGGCCCCTTCCATTACTCTTATGATTCTATAATACCAGGGTTCCCATCTCCTCACCTTTCAAGATGGTCTGCAGGGAAGCCACTTCCTCCTGGCACCGTCGCCGCACAGCCTCCACAGCTTCATGTTTGGTGTTTTCGCTTACAGCTGCCACTGCTCGGACCGTGTCTACTTCTGCCAAGGCAGCCGCCAACTGGGCCCGCAGGCTTCGGATGGTTTCTTCGGGGTCAGGGTCTTTAGGGAGCTCTGGCCCCATGGAAGCAGCCACATCCTGCACCCTCTGAGGATCTTCGAAACAGTGAGAAATAGAGATGAAGAATCCAAACTGAATACTGTACTAGATTTGAACACAGGACCCGTTCTGCTCTCTTCCCCACCTCCCTTTGTAAGAGCGGAACTAACTCTAACTGACTATGCCGTTGACCTTTAACCCCCCTCCAAACTGCAGCCTAAATCAAGCACCCTAGCCGTGACCCTTGACCTCCCCCCCCCGTTTGAGTGACGCACATCAGAACTCGGCTTTAAAAGTCCTCCGTGCCGTGGGGGCGGGGCTTCCCAGTTTCCCGCCCTCCCTTCTCTTCCCTTCCCTTCGCTCGCTCGCTCGCTCTTTGCCCGCCGCGGAGAGGGGAGGGGGCGTTCGCGCGTACTACCTTCCATCCCGGCAAGGCTTCTGTTGTGGCTACTTCCCCTGAGGCCGAGCGGAGCCGGAATTGGCCGAACGGAACCGGAAATAGCCGAGTAAACACGAGAATGGCCGAAACCATGGAGGCCGACGCGCGTGGGCGGGAGAGTCTGATCGAGGCCGACGAGCGGCCGCCCGGCGTTTCTTTTTTCGCTCCCCGAGAAGCGAGTCGGAGTTTCCCGATACAGTCTCTCAGATGTGTTGGGGTCCGTCTCTCCTTCTCTCTTTTTCTTCTCTCTTTTTCAACCCCTCTTCATAGGGGTTTGCAGATGTGAGGGTCAAAGGCCCCTGCCCTGGTTTGCATCCCTTACTGCAAAACTTGTTAGAAAAAGGGAAAAATTCCCTTTTTTTTTGGCCCCAGCTGTCTGAAGTCCCAACGTGATTTGGGACGGACTCCAGGAATGGGAGTCCGCAAAAGTAATGTTTGGTTACTTCAGAGGATTCCGGGAAGGGCCCTCCTCTTTCACCTCCATTGATTCATGCCAGTTATAAGGGAGGCGGCTTGAAGAGCAGAGATTAGGATTAGGAAAATGTTGGCTGCCTGCAGAATACCAGATTTGCATGCATAATTGGAGAGGGTGATTAAGGTTTTCAGGTCAGTGGGTGGGTTCAACCCCATGGGAGCCCTCGGTTTCGTTTTTGTTTGTTTATTTGCCACATTTATATCCTGCCTTTTGAGCTCAATGTGGTGTACTGTACCTGATTTTTCTCCTCCCTACTTTCCTCTCACAATAATCCTGTGAGGTAGATCACCTGGAGAGGTGGTCCTTGACTCAGGGGCACCCATTCCTTGCATTTAATGACTTTCTGGAGATTTGAACCCAGAGTTTTTGCATCTTAGTTCAACACTCTGCCACACAACAGAAGTTGGTTTAACTACAATACTGCCTCTCTTTCTTCTAGTTACAGTAGAATGGTGTTTAGAGGAAAATGTTTTTGGGAAGCATGAGCTTCAAACTTTTATTATGAAAAATAAACACTGCGATTATGAGAAAAGTTTTGACATACATTAATAGAAATCTAGAAAAAAAGTACAGTATCAAGATCTGTAGCTTTCATTGACAGCAAGGGTACCTGAGGTACCATCATGCATGTTCACATCCTTGTAAATGATTGCAAATGTTTCTGTTTTTGGATCAAATAGACCCAAGAACTGGAAACCAAGTTCAACTTTGCAGGGTAATGTGAGATTTCAGAGCTCATTTCAAGGTGTTCTTCGTTGCTTTGAATTTTGGTGATCCGTGGAAAATGGGAGAAGTAGTCTGTGGTTCCCTCAATGATGGAAGCAGGTTTCGCCCACGCTCTGAAGCCACCTTACCATTTACTCTTTAGTGCATAATACATTTCTGATTGGAATTTTGCCATGAAAAAAACAAACCCAAAGCTTGGAGTTTCCTAGGACATGGTTCCAAACTTTGGGTAACCCAGGTGTTCTTGAACTGCAGTTCCCAGAAGCCTTCACCATCAACTGTGCTGGCCAGGGTTTCTGGGAGTTGCAGTCCAAAAACATTTGGGTTACCTGAGGTTGGAAACCAGTGCTGTACTACTCTTGGCATTGCACTGACTTTGAAGAGGCCTGCTAGATACCCGATGAATTCACAACTTTATTTCACCCGATGGTCAACAAAACTCAAGAGGAGTTAAATAGGTTTCTTTTGCTGTTATATTCCCACCCATTGGCATTCACCGCTTGCAGGGTGGGGAGACGTTTCAACCTGACACTTCTATTTGCCTGCATTCACTAAATTATAATCCTTTAATTATCCTTGACTAATTCTACTAGAAAAGTTACTGTTTAAGGCTACAACTCCCAGAATCGGGGGGTTCTTGGAATTAGAGTCCAAAAAATAACTTTTGTAAGCTATCTGAACTCATACCCGTTATGCACATCTTGTGAATCTGACAAAGTATTTACGGCTAGATAGCTCAGTGTTTTTGGTCTTTGGCTGGAGACTGGGAGTTCAGTTCCCCACTGTGCCTCCTTTGCAGGAGCTGGACTTGATGATCCATAGAGTCTCTCTTAAGTCTTCAGTTCTAAGACTAAATAAGTACTGTAAAGCTATGTGAAGTTTTTTTTTCTTCCATCCATCCTGAATCTGCTGCCTATCCATTTAAATAATCCTGTGTTCTAATATTATGAAAGGTGGAGAGTATCTATGTTTTTCCGGCTTTGTGCATAATTTGAATATGGTCAGTTTTTGGTCTGCAATTTTATGCACATTTGAATGTCGCTCCTTTGAACATAGTGAGGCTTCCTTTTGATTAAAAAATGCACAGGATAGCACTGCATCACTCTTCTATGAATGAGACAAACAATTCATCTTCTTGTCAGCCAGCCAAATATCAAGGTAACAAATTTCCAACAGGCCACTGGTCATTGCTGTGGAGATGATAAAAGAAAGCCACACACATGCAGCTGGTGAGCATATGGATTTATTGGCATCCTATAAGAATCCAGATTAAGTCATTTATTTATTTACTTTATTCCTGTGCTGGCCAACTAGCAAATGCTTTCAGCATGCATCTCTGTGCCTGGAGCTGGCGTTCCTTCTTAGCTTTTTGTGTTTTCTCCCCCACTGCTCACTTGCGGCTTGAGACAAGATGGCCTCCATCCAGCAACCAGCTCAGGAGAAGAGGGAATCACGCCCACATTTCCCTTGCTTGGCTGCCAGCAAATCCAACTTGGTTTTGACCTGATCCAAGCCAGTCAGTACTTGCTCCAGTTTCTGAAGCACCTGAGGATCAGAGTGGGAGCTGCAGGTGTCGGGTGACAGGGAGCCACTTGCTGGCTGTGGAAGGGATTGACCTGAAGGACACAAAATAGATTTTCCCATGATGTCATTGTTTGTGCTTGATGCATGCAAAATCAGAAACACCAGGAAATGGGAAGCTCTGTGTTATAATACCAGACATTGGGCAAGGCTCTTGACACATAAAACCATAGGTTTGCACCATCTCTGCTTGGGAGAAGAAGTACTGTTTATTTGACTTCCTGCCAGTCATCTAGCTATTAAAGGTACAGAAGTCCCGCTAAGGAAGAAAAAGGAGAGGAGCAACTGGTGACATGTTCCTCTTCACTGCTTATATGGATTCTCTTTCTCTCCCTTGCAGAGGGTCTACTTGCACAATCAATATTGCAACTCAGCAAATCTGCTTTCCTTCAAATTCTGTGAGTTGTGATATTCATATTGCTGATCCTTTTTGGATCAAACCCCAGATCCATCTGCTAATTGGTTTATCAAATCAACTGAATGCTTCCAGAAAATGCACAAGGAGAATGTAGAGGCAGTAGCCATACTATGATGTTTCCCCTGTTCTTGCCCCAACAGCAAATGGACATTCCATTTAAACTTTCATGGTTAATAGAGTTCAGCAGACTTTTCTTCCATTAATTTGTTATTCCTGTTTTGAACCAGGTGTAAAATGGTGGCCAATTCCACAATATGCAAATGAATCACTATGGTGAAAATAAACCAGGGTGTGTGTGTGAAACTCCAGGATAGGCCAATGAATTCTGACAGGGCTTAATAGCTGTGGAGTACTGACTTTAAAAAAAGTGGAAATTGAGATGGAAAGGGGATTGGAAATGAGTATACTGGACAAAAATGAATAGAATAGAGTCCCCTGGAGAAAGGCAGAGCTTGGTGGCACACTAAACAGAATCATTTCGCCTTGTATGAATTTGGATTGCAGAATATAACATAACTCTTTGCAGAAACATCATCAGCATCATTATCATCTGCTGCTGCTGTTCATATTTTCCCCAAATCCTCATACCTCGGGTGGCACAAATCTTCTCTTTCAGCTCGGCCTGGATGTTCCTGAGTTCTGAGAAGTGTCTCACAACAATGACATGGTGTGGGGCAGGGTGTGAGGCCATGGCATGGAGCTCCTGTTGGGCAGTTTTTCTTATAAACCCCAAACCAGCCTTACATGGGGAAACAAAAACAGTGAGAGGTCAATGCACTGTGACATTTTTTTAGGGCTCAGAGGGTGCAATGGTAACAGACAAGCCAGTGGGATTCACTGAAGCTAAGGCCTACGCCCAGTAACATGATGGTGGAGAACATGGACTTCCCATGGCCCAGAATGCATTGCCTCTAACCCACAACAGGAAAGAAAACAGCGATCAACATGTAACACTCCTGTCTCCCCCATATTGTAGGTGGACTGTCTTCAAGTGTATAACCTTGAATGGCACCATGCACAGGAGTTTGAAGGAAACTGGGAATGGCCCTCAGGACCACATTTAGGTTCTAGCTAAAATTCTAAATTCCACTCTGGAATCTTGCCCCAAGGAAGCGTCTGATGTGTGGGTATGAAATCATGAATTCCCTATCTGCCTCTTCTAAAACACAGAGGACTATCTTTTGAGTGTGTTCGGCTTGAGACCTGAAATTTGAGGTCTGTTTTGGTGTAGGAGTCCAAGGACAGCAGGGCCCCCATATCCACAGGATCTGTATCCATGGATTCACTTCCTGCTTTGTCTGTTGACATGGCCTCCAGGTTCACAAATCAAGGCCTTCAGCTTTTTCTGGACAATGAGGATCACCTCTGCTCATTAATCCTTGCTCTTACTAATCTCCTTTTTATGCATCACTGAAGATTCTGTACATGTTTCATACAATTTTCATCTACTCATCAGTAGCTTACCGCCTCTGAATTTGGGGGCTGAGCAAAGGCCTTTTTATTTACTGTACCCTAGTTTTCATATTTTCACCAGCATTCAGTTTTAACCATTATTGATCACCTCAGGCTCCTCTTTAAGTCTGATGCCTGTTTTTAGTTTTGCGTCTACATTTCATATTTTGTTGCTTTAATTCTGCACTATAAACTATCCTGAGAGCTGAGCTGAAAGATGTGTGTGTGTCATACAAGAAAGTCAGTTCCAACCTCTGGCAGCCAGTGTCAACTTCAGTGAGTTTCCATGGCCGAGCGGGGAGATTTGAGCCAAGGTCTCTTGCGTTCTAGTACAACACTCTATGTGCTACACCATGCTGGCCCTATCCTGTCTTGAAAGGGAGACATCAACATGAGCAATTAAATAAAATAACACACGCAAGTGTCATTGTCCTCACCCCAATTGCAAAGCGCGTTATCATAGCTCTGTTGGCCTCCTCGGTAACCTCTGCATAGTCCAGCGGGTCTCCAATTTTCTCCCCATCTGTCACCACCACAAGGAACCGCTTGGCTGTGTTGCGTGCCCCTTTTTGTGTGGTGAAAAGCTCTCTTCTGAAACGAGTAGAAAAAGAGAACTGTTGCGAGAAAAGGCAAGCCGAGTCGTACAGTTGCCCACCCACCTTTCTTTTCTGGTGTATTTCTTGCACCAAACTAGAAGTTCAAGAGCTTTCCCCATAACTCCATCTCAGTGTTGGCACAAGCACCTGTTGAATGTCTGCTCCATAAGAAAAAGATGAGGAAATCTAGGGTGGCGGGGAAAGGAGATACTCACACAGCCTTCCTGATCGCAGTGGCTGTATATGAGGAGCCACGCAGGTGAGCGACGTCTCTGAGCAGGCGGTCAGGATCCCGATTTTGACTAAAGTGTCTAAAGTCAAAATGCTCGCGGAATTGGTTAGAGAACTGCAGGAGAGAGAACTGAGAAAGACAGAAAGAGATTAATGGGGAAAGCAGCTTCTGTGAACATCAATGATATTTGTATTTTTTTTCTGCTTGTACAAGGGATACCAAGATAGAGGAAGAAACCTGCTTCTTAACTTCTGCAAGCCAGATACCAATTGTCTGGACTAATTTCTTGGTACCTTAGACATTCAGTTATCTGATTTCTATTCATAATAGTATGAAATCCAAAGAACACTCCTTAATGGTGCTGTTTGTTTGTTTGTTTTAAACCTGCCTTTCTCCTTAAGATGGACCTAAGGTGACTTAAATCATTAAAAGACAATATATAAAGCTAAAAACAGTAAACATAAAAATATTTTAAAGGATCAAACAAATACCATACTAAAAGATCATAACAAAAGCAACACCAAAATAGATTCAAAGCAAGAAGGTGCAACTGTCCATTTAAAATTCTAGTCATTAAGGGAAAACTTGGCTGAAGAGAAAGGTCTTTACTTGCTTGCGGAAGGACATCAAAGATGGAGACATTCTGTGGCCTTTAGATATGTAATAATCTCAGTGCTTTGGGTGCTAAGATTAAAAAAGCCACACCTTTCTCTCTGCCTTCTTCTGTGTTGCCTCTAAAGCAGCTTCTAAGCTTTGTTCTAATAGTTTTAGGATACCAAGCACAAAAGGGTTTTACGGGTGAGATGGGTAGCCCCGAACACAGAACCGCTTTCTAGAAATGTCTATCCCATTCAAGAATATGGAGATCAACCTTGTGAAGTTACATCATACCTAAACCCCCTATTGCTGGAGCAAGGAAGAGTTCCTTATGAAGGAAGAGATATCCCACCCTCAGGATGAACAGAAGATTCAGATATCATTCTGGAATAGGGAGGCTGGTGATGTCATTTTCTTTTGCTTACCCCAAGCAACAAAATATTTTGGGCCAGCTATGCTCGGAAACTAGCGATGAGAGGTGAGATCATGTCTGTTACTGACCTGTGTGTTGTCAGGGAAGCTTTTCATGACAAATGCAAGAAATATTTTCATCTGCATGAATTCTGAGGGTGTCAGGCTGCTTGAACCATCAATAAGGAAGACAATGTCTCTTTCATCATTGGGACATGCTGGGTGGGCAAGAAGGAGGAAAAACAGAGCAGCTTGATCAGAAGCAAAGCTATAATTTTCCATTCATGAGACTGCGCCAGTCATCAATATTTAAAATTTGAATTTATTTGTGTGTGTGTATGTTTTAAGTAATAGCGTTCCGTGTCTAGTCGTGCTGGCCATGTGACCACGGAAACTGTCTTTGGACAAAAATGCTCGCTGTATGGCTTGGAAAACGGAGATGAGCACCACGCCCTAGAGTCGAACACGACTGGACTAAATATCAAGGGCAACCTATACCTTTACATATGGTTTAAATAATCTTAAAACTCAGCCAGAAATCCATATAGTGTTATAATTTATTTGGAAGTTGGCACAGGTCCTGTAATTTTAACAGTTTTACGACAAATAGAAGCTCAACTGATTCTTCATGTTTGCTTATTTATATTTATATCCCTCCTCTTTGTCATGGTCAAATGTAGGACACTCATTCTTTTTCAATGAGTTTAAAGTAGCATACACTTTTTTAAAAAAATCACCTGCTTTTTATTCTCACAACAACCCTGTGAGATAAGTTGGAATTATACAGTGACCTTGATGGATGAATGAAGATTTGAACCTCAGACTGTTAAATCTAGTTTGACACTCCAACCACAACACCATCCCAGTTCTTGTAAGACTCTCACAGAATTGCTGTATTAGTCTTTGAGTTATATTAAGACCTCTTCATCTAAGGTTTTCTGACTCAGGTAATAGCAATAACATTTCCCATATTTCTTGCCCACAGATTCCTACATAGGTCTTACTTACATTCTTTGTCCTGGTTTATCCGGGGCGGCTGCCCTGGATCTAATGCATCAGAAAGATCAAATATATCATCAGCAGATTCTGTGAAATAAGAAAACAGGGTGAAACAATGTCAAAAATATCTACAGAATAGTATGAGTGGGGGTATAAACATTCTGAGAATTTTGAAGCTTTACATTTTGGACCATATCTGAAAAATCCCAAATAGCAGTCATGCTGGCGGGAGGAAATTCAGGAGCTATAGCCCAGCGAAGGAATATTTCTAATTTCTGAGCATTCTATGTGCAAGGATAGGAATTAGACACGTGATATTCATATTCGTGATCCAGGGGGATATGAATAGGAATATCCTATGTCTAATCAGAAACAGTAAAGTATTTTATAGCATAGATAAGTGAATTAAATAGAACTGGAGGGAAATCCTATAAAATGCCCCAAAAATGTCTTTAAAAGCCCTTCCAAAATAACCTTTGAAATAGAAGATATTACTCCTCGTGCCAACAGAATACATTTAGTCCTCTAATTTTGTTATTTCATTACACTTTTGTTATTCCAGCAAGTAATTAGTTACCAGTAACTATTACTTGTAGCGTGTTGATGCCAAATATTAGTAGCAGCAGTCTACCGGTAACAAAACACATAGTTTGTTGCCAGGGGAAAAGGGAGGTTATAGGGTATATACTGACCTGTAGCTCCAAGGAAAAGAAGGGTAACTATGAGGACTTCAAAAGGTCCCATGGTTGTGTCCAAATGGCTACATATCAAGGTTTCAGCCCCTTCCCTTTCTGAGAGTTGGCACTGATGCAAGAGGGCAAAGATTCCGGGCCAGGAGGGCACTGAACTGGAGAGGCCACCTGATTGGAGACTAAAGCCACAACTTCACTTTCCTGGCAATAGCAGCTGCTCACATACACAAATATTTGCACCACTAAGTTACCTTTTATACGTAAAACTAGGAGTAGGAATAAAGGTGCTTCCAAAATTCCTAATGTGCTGGAATAATTTAGTTGGTCTAGGGTAGTAAACACTTTGATTTTCAGTGACCTTATTCCCAAGATTTGTTTTAACGCATGGATGGACAACTTGTGATCTTCCAGATGTCATCATTCCTACCCAAAATTTACTAACATTGCCGTAACATACAAGTTGGATTATATGGAGCCAATGCCAAATAAAACTGATTAGCCTTAAAGGTGTCCCAAGACACGTTGTTTTGCTGCAACAGAATAAGAGTGTGAATACACTGCAATTTAACTTGTGGCTTGTGTTGACTTAGTTAAAACCAAAGGGTTTACTGATGACTATGCAACATAAAGGTGAGCAGAGAGAAGCCAAGTCTTTTTCCATGGAAATTCATTTCTTTTGTTTGGCAAGAAGGGGGTGATTTATTCTGAACTGATTCAGCTGGAATTGCTTTTCTCCATTTTCTGGCACATGCAATTGTATGTCTCAAGCCAAAGGGGCAGTTATGGGCATAGCCTACGTTGAGATTGCTATTGATGGCAGTGTTACATCAGGATCATTCTCTTTAAATGAACGCCTGCTGTATTCCCTCCTCTGAACAATTTTTCTATTTTTTTAAAAATTATGCTTGCCAAATTTAGTGCTGCATCAGATAAGTGCTATGTCACTTCCATAAAAAGTAAATTTAAAAAATGAGGATGAAGGGAAGAGGTGGGGAAGAGGATGGGATCAATAGGGTGGGACTGTGTTCCTGATAGAAACTGACCCCAAGTACAGTGTGGACTCTTTCAACAGGATAATTAATTGCATTGGAAAAGACAACTACACCAGAGAAAACCAGCAGGAGCACAAATTAAACACATTGAAACAAACTGGGAATTCCTCTCTGTATAGTTATATCCTAACATGGCCATCTACTTTTAAAAAGGTTGGTTTCAGATAGATATGTGTCCAGTTTTCTTCCCCCTACACCAAAGCATTCTCCCCTGACACTTCACATCCTGGAGATCTGATGAAAACAAAAGGAAGAAGAGAATGAAGACAACTCTTGACATAAAAGAGGCGGCTTTGAGCTCACAAGAGTTTTTTTTAAAAATGAACGATTAAAGAACAAAACCGCTGCTCTGTTTAATAACTACCCTTTTGTCTTCTGAGACATTATGGCCACGAAAGAATATGCTATTGTTCACATGGTGGGGTGTGCAAGTTTGCTACCCTCGATGAGAGCTTTTTAAGAGTACCCGCAAGATAAATATTTTGGCTCTTTGCTTGATGATGTTTTAATGAATCCAGACCATTAAGGTATCTTCTGTTAACTGAAAAGCAGCCAAGGACGACTTTGGACTTAATTTAAAAAAAGAAAATTTAAAAGCACATCCAGTGTTTGCAAAAGCCAAACCCCATGTCCACTGTAAAGTATGTAAACAATTCATCTGTAGCCCTACAATTACAAGAGTGAAGAGTAGGAAAACAGGTACATTTAAAAAATATTATTATTATTACTATACTGTAATATATAAACTGGATTAAGACAGATTTGATTCCAGCTTTCTTCCACCTGCACTGAAACCTTCTGCCATAAAACTTCACATCCTGGAATTCTGATATAAACGAAGGAGACAATAAACTCTGATATAAACAACAGCAAGGTTTATTGCCTAGTCAGACGACTCCTTATGCAACCGAGCCTGAACGCATTTGTTTTATTGATCTATCAGGTTTGTGGCAGGAAGGCAGAGCTTGAGCATCTACTTTTTGGACAAAAGCCCCCTGAAACCCTTCATATGGCTGGGAGAAGTAGTCCCCAAAAGTAAATTTTCTCAGCATCAGAATCTAGCATGGTTTTCAACAAAGCAACTCCATCAAGCATCCTGAATATGAGTTAAACACATTGCTGTCTGTGGAGGATAAAGGACCTGATGAATTTCTGCCTCTTGTACAGCCATTTACAAACACTGCAGTTTAGGCATTTTAAAAGATGGTGAAACAGAACCATTGTTGGCTGATATACAACCGGTTTGTGGTATGAATGAGGAGAGACCACAAAGTAAACTTTTTGTCAAGTAATGATGAATCTCGTTTGACATTCTCTGCCTCCCCCACAGCTCCTGCGCCTGTGATGGCTTCACATCAAGCAGAAATCCATCAGGTGATGCTCCCCACCTGTGCACCTCTGTGCTAGCAAATCTTTACCTGCTGAATTTCTGCCAGACACATGACTGACCAAAGTGTACAAACTGGGTATAAACATCACAACCAGTTACCACATGCTCAACCTTGTCTCTGCAGACTGAACATGGAAGACGTAGTGTCTTGTTTGGAAATTGTAAACACATGGAATGGCTTGCCCCTCTCTTCGGAAACTAGTAGTTTTAAGCGGGACTGTCAGGTGCAGTGTAAAGAAAACATATTTCATGGTTAGAATGGACACCTCCCTGCACACTTGTGGTGCTGTCAGTTAAAACTGGTGTGTCAGCAGAGAACCGCGAGGGATAATTACCAGGTCTGAGGATAAGTGCCTATAAAACAGCAAAATCCACCCTTCCTCTTTTAAACTACCATGTCTGGGTGGTGGAACCTGCTCTATACCATGAGACTCTCTGCATCTCTGATCATCATCCTCCAGGCTATTCTGCCTCTTATAGCGGAACAAGAAAGAAGGCTGCGCTTCGTTATACTGGTACATGGAAGGGGGTGATGCTGATGATAGCTTGGATGCCTCAGATCTCTGGGGAAGACCGCAGGCTTAGCCGCGCCTCGCAGAAAAAATGGTGGGGAACCAGGGTCCCTTGAATTCTTTGGAAGGGATCTCGGGTCTACTATATGACAGAAGGAGGAGATTAGTATCAACACTTTTGGATTATTTGCAACAGAGCGAAGGTCAAATATATTCAGCTTCAACCAGTGAGTTACATATAACAAAAACTAGTGGGCTTGGAGAAAAAAGATTAGATTGCAAAGGTTCTTTAGAGGGTGGTACAATATATCTCTGTTTTCTCTGAGCATAAAGACACATCAAAGAGAGAGAAAGGGCGTGCGCGCGCGCACACACACACTTGCGGGCACACACACACATACACACACACTGGCTTTATTAAATAGACAAATTTAATTAATTAATTATGTGCCATTGAGTTGATTTTGACATGCAGCACCTCTTTCCAAGGGTTTGCGAGGTATAGACTCCTAAAAAATTGTTTACCACTCCCTTCTTCTGGGGATGATCTGGGGCTCTGTAGCGTGCCAAAGCCGACACAGGCTGGCTCTTCTCCTCAAGACACAGTGGAGAATCAGACTCTCGACTCTGCAGCCACTTATCTACTGAGCCATCCCAGCCAGTTAGTTAACTAGACAAACATCTTGTCAAGATCACAGACAATAATTCCTCTGCTTTGTCTGTCTTTGTCCCTCAACAGTTTACATTAAACTACATATTACCAGCAGCTTCAGAAAGACTAGGGGCAGTCTTTGTTCACTGTTGTTAAAGGAATAGTTATTTAAAAGTATGCCTTATTTCTACTGTGATTTTTCTATCTCGTTCTCTCTTGCTTGCTTTCTATAATGCAATAGATTAAAAGAGGAATGATCTGAATGTATGTGGTGTATATCCTGATTCCTGATCCAGCAATAAGAAAAAAGAAAACATGAAATACAGAAAGGGTGCTTCCAGATAGCTTTTTATTATTCAATCAGCTTCTCTCATTGAAAGAAGTTTTTGTAGGCTTCTTCCACTAGCGGTTAGAAAGTGCTATGCAGTTACCTTTTTTCCTGAATAGATTAACAAGATTAACATTAACAGTGTTGTGTGTGCTCCTGTAAAATCCTTCTTCTTGAAACCACCAGAGGCTTAGACAATGTCAGCTCCCATTCATCATTTACATTTGCTTTCCCACCATTTTTTCCTGTCTTTTTTCTTCTCATTCAGTAACCCGGTAGGGAGAGAAAAACAGAATGGCTGCACAATGCCCTTTCACTGGTAGTGTTGGAAAATGTCCATTTGGAAGCACTCTGAGAACTGGAGAGAAAAAAACATAAAGAAGGGGAAAGAAGAGCTTGCTCTAGATAGCAAAGGAAAAATAATATGAAAATTAAATGATAATCAGCCCTGTTCTATGGATTAGGTTTGAAGAACAGTCTTATGTCTAGAAAGATTCCTGGCGTGCTTCCAGATAAACATCTCTTAGTGCTAGCATTTAAAATAGATGATTATAGTTACTCTGTTTTATACCTTCCTCAGAAGTTTTCTGGAAAGCAAAAAGATGAGAGAAGGGGGTTGGGAAAGGGAGGATTATAAAGTAAGGAGTATGTCATAAAACCGTTATCTGGCAGAAATGTTGGACTCATGGGTTAGAACTAAAGGGAAACGCTAATCATGCTTCCTTCTTAGGTGTATCGTCATGGTGATCGCTCCCCTCTTGGCACCTACCCCACAGATCCCCACAAATCAGAAGCCTGGCCACAAGGTTTCCATCAGCTCACTGAGGTAAGGGTTTGAGCAAAGAAAGGATGGAAATGTTTTCATTCACATATGACTGTGTGTGTGCGCGTGCACGCATGCGAGCTTTTTGCTAGAGCAGAGGGTGCGGGCACTTTGTGTGTAAAAAGGTAAAGGTAAAGGTTCCCCTTGACAATTTTTTGTCCAGTCGTGTTCGACTCTAGGGGGTGGTGCTCATCCCTGTTTCCAAGCCATAGAGCCAGCGTTTTGTCTGAAGACAATCTTCCCTGGTCAGATGGCCAGTGTGACTTAGACACGGAACGCTGTTACCTTCCCACCGAGGTGGTCCCTATTTATCTACTTGCATTTGCATGCTTTCGAACCGCTAGGTTGGCGGGAGCTGGGACAAGCGACGGGAGCTCACTCCGTCGCGTGGATTCGAGCTTACGACTGCTTGGTCATCTGACCCTGCAGCACAGGCTTCTGCGGTTTAGCCCGCAGTGCCACCACGTCCCCTTTGTGTGTAAGTGGGAATATTATTAATAATACTTATGTGCCATCAAGTCAATTCAGACCTTCTCCAGGGTTTTTCTGGGAAGAGAATGCACAGAAGTGTTTTACCATTCTGTTCTTCTGGGGGCATCCTGGGATGGTACAGCTTGCCCAAGGCCACACAGGCTGACTCTTCTCCCAGGAGGTACAGTGGGGAGAATCAAACTCTCTACTTCTGGCTTCACAGCCAGATAACTAAACCACTGTCCTTTGTCATTTTTTGAGCTATCTCCTTTCCTTCTCTTGCAGGTAGGTATTTTGCAACAGAAGGTGCTGGGACGGTTCCTGAGGAAGAGATATAATGGATTTTTGAGTCCTTCCTACAAGCCACAGGAGGTAAATATCTGTTTGTTAAATCTCTCTTAAAAACAGGAGCATCCAGAAGAGAGCATCTCTTGATAACAACACACCACAAACTCCCATTATTTTCCAGGGCAGCAAACAATATGAATACCATAATACAAATAAAATATAAATAACCAAAAAGGAAAAACAGTGGAAAAGCTGCAGCATGAAAAAAAATTGCATTTAAGCTGGTAAAATTAGTTCTTCTCAACTTTTTTAATAGCAAGAAAAGAAATCCCAAGTAAATGTAAAGAAATTGGAAGATAAAAACATATTTGTCTGACACTCACATGACATGGGTTTAGGCATCATGCAAGCATGCATCCTGCTGAGAGTGCGCAAAAGATGAGGAGCTACAGTACTACTGAAAATTCTCTCTCTCTCTCACACACACACACACACACACACACACACACAGAGAGAGAGAGAGAGAGAGAGCGCTCTAAGCTATACATCAGAAAACAGGGGCATTTCAAGGTCTGACACTCACATGACATGGGTTTAGGCATCATGCAAGCATGCATCCTGCTGAGAGTGCGCAAAAGATGAGGAGCTACAGTACTACTGAAAATTCTCTCTCTCTCTCACACACACACACACACACACACACACACACAGAGAGAGAGAGAGAGAGAGAGCGCTCTAAGCTATACATCAGAAAACAGGGGCATTTCAAGAGAGCATTTGAGAGAGAGAGAGAGAGAGAGAGCTCTAAGCTATACATCAGAAAACGGGCATTTCAAAAGAGCATTTCTTGAAAATGACAAAGGGCTGAACAGTTACAGGAGAAGTTACAGGTACTGCTTCCATAATCCATAGATCTGAAGACAAGCACATCCCTGTGCTTAGTACATCGCTGTATTTCATTTCCAAGATCAAGAGAAAGTACACGCACATCCCTGTGCTTAGTACATCGCTGTACTGTATTTCATTTCCAAGATCAAGAGAAAATACAATGTTTGCGCTTTCCACTGTAGTGCTGACTGGCTTTGAACCCTCCCTGTTCTATTGTTAAGGCCAGCATTGACCTTACCATTATACAGTACAGAAAAAGGACCTTGTCACAGGGAGTATAATTGGGGGACAGTGACTGCAGCAGTTCGAAAAGCTGTTACTTCTAATATTCTTGTTTCTTTCTTTCTTTCTGCAGCTTGCCCTGAGCCCCCTAACCTAGTCTGCTCCTCTCAGTTTCTCTCTTTGGCAGTCAGTAATGAGATGATTCAAAGGCCAGGCCAGTACATAGTAGGAGATAACACTGACTCAGGCAGCAAAGTGTCTCTGCCCATCCTTGTGTGCTGCTGCTGTTTATGGTTAGCCATCAAGGCAAAGTGAAGCGGAGAAGAGAAGCTTTCTTGTAGACCAGTGGTTCCCAACCTTAGGTACCGAGATGTTCTTGGATTACAGAAATCCTGGTCTGCACAGCAAGTGGTGAAGGCCTGTGGGAGTTTTAGTCCAAGAACATCTAGAGACCCAAGATTCGGAATCCCTACTATAAAGGTTCTTGCACAACCAGATCTGTCGGGTGAAATTCTGAGGAGAGGTCCACCAACACCTGTTTCTTGACATTCAGAGACTATGGAAGTCAGAACAGTGGAGGCAGGGATGAAGATCAAAAATGAATGAGGACCTTAGTTGTCTCAAGGAACTTGACACACAGGATTCTAGCAATAGCCCTTCAAAACCAAATCAGCCAAATTCACAATTTTCCATCGCTGTCCTAGGCATCACCTGTTCATGAAGGAATAGAGATCATGTTTCTAATTCCTCCTCCTTAGCAAACTATGGGAGGAGACACCTTGAGCCTTTGCTTGCCAGGCCAGAAATACCAATAGGCAAGCTTGATGCTCTCTTACGTCCTGTCCCATTTTACCCACAGTTTGTTTCTTGCTGGGACAATCAATTGAATTCTCCCCAAAATGTTAACCTTGGGCCCACCAAAGTTTACAAACCCTTCTGAGTGGGAGCAGGGGTGGATAGAACAAGGATGGCCAAAGACATTTTGTTGCCTGAGGTGAAGGACATGAAGTGCTCCCTCCCATTGGCTGGTGTTTGAAATTTTTCGTCAGTGGTGACAGGATTCTCCATTGCAGCTCTGGCGATACAGAGCAGGCCATGTGGCCCATGGCTCTTGCCTCCAATATGCTACTCTCACCTCAGGGCACCTGCGCCATGAAGTAACTTTCTTACTTTGCCTAATGTTAGGGCCAGCCCTGAGTAAAGGTTTACATTGTTATGCCCTTTTCAGATATACGTTCGCAGCACTGACTATGACCGTACCATAATGAGTGCCCAAGCTAATCTGATGGGACTTTATCCAAACTCAGATCCACAAACCGGTTGGAATCCCATTCCTGTCCACACAGTGCCTGTTAAGTATGACAAGGTAAGTAAATGGAAAACAGAAATCTAGGACCTTTCCTGAACAGAATTCCCATCCTCACGATTTATAGAGCTGTTTCTCGATTATAACGATCATGATGATTATAATATTTATGTTCTATATTGTTTGGATGGTATTGACATTGTTAGTTCACAACCCCCAAACAGGATCTGGTGCCAGAAATAATTAAATTAAATGGATGAGAAGTTTCCTAGTCCCCTCTTTTAGGTTCCAAGGCTCCCTAGAATTCTCCTTTGTCCCGGGGAAGCCTTTGGGAGCCTGTAAGGGGAGATTTTAATAGTCAAATATTTCCACTGCCAGTGGACCTAATGCCACTAGTGGTAATTCTTGACTGTTAAAGGCTCTTCCCTCCCTCCAATGGGTCACAAAGGCTTACCCAGGGCAAAGGGAGGCGCTGGGAAGTTTCAGAACATAATGGGGGCTGGATAGGAATATTTCAATTCGTTCCAATTATTTCCAGCACTAGACCTGATTTACACAAACGTAACATTACACAACAGGATTTTGCCCAGAGTCAATGTGTAGCTGGAAAGCCACATGTTTCCCCGTAGCCAATGAGGAAAATATCTTTAAGCAGAGGACAATCCTCTGTAAAGTAGACCCCATGGCCACAGTCTCTAGTTATTAGGATTGGGAGATACAGGTGCCATCATTTCTCCTAAAGTCTGAGGTTGCTTGTCTTTCCCAATTGTGCCTTACAGCTGCTGAAGCCACCAACGCGAACCTGTTTACGATACCAACAGCTAATGGAAGAAACGGTTAATTTGCCAAGCTATCAGGCTAAAATGGAAACCTGGAAGGTACGAGAGAGGGGAGATGCAAAAGTAATGGGAAAATAAACATGCTTTCTATTAAAGGCAAGGGTCTTTCCCATCAACTCCATTAAAATGTATTTCTGGAAAAGGGACCATGGGCATCACCAGTCAGATTTGCTGCCAGTTATAATTAAATCATATATCAATTTGAGAGGAAACTGCCTCAATCATTGACGGCCCAGTCCCAGGATGCAGCTGCACCACAAGTCTACAGCAGTTTTATACCACTTTGATCCTCATGGTTTTCCGCAAATACTTTTTGAAATTGCTATTTGATGAGATTGGATATTGTGTAAGGAGGTACTTAGTGCCCCCTGCCAGCTGGTGTTCCTAGGATTCTCCACATAAAATACATTACAACTGCTGTATAGGGTGTGACTACTCAATGACAAGTGGAGCTGGAGGAGACTCGAGAGTCCCTTGGACTGCAAGGAGAACAAACCTATCCATTTTGAAGGAAATCAACACTGAGTGCTTACTGGAAGGACAGATCCTGAAGCTGAGGATCCAATACTTTGGCCATCTCATGAGAAGAGAAGACTCCATGGAAAAGACCCTGATGTTGGGAAAGTGCGAAGGCAAGAGGAGAAGGAGACGACAGAGGATGAGATGGCTGGACAGTGTCATCAAAGCTACCGACATGAATTTGAACCAACTCTGGGAGGCAGTGGAGGACAGGAGGGCCTGGCGTGCTCTGGTCCATGGGGTCACGACGGGTCGGACACAACTAAATGACTAAACAACAACTTAAATCAAACTGCTTGTAGTTGTACTTACAGTCCTGCAGGTGGCACTGTTCAAAGAACTGTATTAATAGGCAATAAGATGGCTTTTTCCTGTTTCAGCTGCCAGCTTCCAACACCCGGCTTTGCCTTGTTAAGCTGTAAAGTAAAATAAAAGGAGTGTTGCTCAAGAGTAAAAATTATAAAAAGATTTTGGAAGAGAGGCTTTGTTGGGCAGAGTGTGTGCATAAGCACACTCTCATAGCTTAAGGAGGTGAAAAAGGAGGGGGAAGGTGGGAGGACACTTTGAGTGTGCATTCACACACACCTTGTCTTCTCTTTCTGCATTGATTCAAGTGAACACATGCTTGAATTGATCTGAAAAGATTCAAAAATTTAAAAAATGGAAAGTTCCCTGATGGACAGGAAGAGCTACAGTTTGTGGGGTGGGGATTCCAGGCAGATTTGCATTTCCCGTTATGTTGTACGATCAAGGGGGGGGGAAATGCAAATCAGCCCATCCCAAAACCAATAGTATTTTCCACAGTTTTTGATCAGATGGTCACTGGCTAGGAAAGCTCATTGTGGCATAAACCGGCGCTGGTCATATAAGTCTGGATGTGACCTTCATACCATCCTGCTTCATGCATTCACCAAATGAGCCTGACCAAATATTTGTTCAACATACTTGTAAAAGCTTCCACTACCTGGGAAATTCCCAGGCTAGGGCTGTAATGGATCAGAGCATTAACATTTAAAGGACATCTACATCTATAGGTCAGACTACTAGAGAGTTTTAGGCAAAGGACAATATCTCTTGGCTATAATCATGTTAATCCCCCCCCCCCGAAAGCACACACTTTCTCTTTGTATTGGGGTAAAACTGTGCTTTTGCCTTTTTCATGGAGTGGAGGGTTCATGCTCATGCCTCAGAGCAGAGTGGGTGGGAGACCCTGCCGCTTGCCGCAGGAACTATGCAGAAGTGAACGAGGGGTGGGGGTGGGGGGGCTAGCAACCATATTTTTCCTACATCATTTTTCCTATGTACATTTTCATGGCATCCTTTCTATGTAAGGTATTGAAACCAGCAAAACTTTCTTCAGCCAATTCCTACCCTTCCACAGGGTTTCATAACAGAGATGGCCAACTGTACAGGACTTCAACCTGAACAGATGACCCTGAGGGCCCTTTGGAAGGTGCAAGACTCTCTCTTCTGCCAGGTAGGAATACTTTGACATGTCTTTAATGGTTGGCTTGTGGGCATGAGTTGTTAAAAAAAAAGAGCAATGTTTTCAAGCTCTGCTTTTCTCTGTGACTCTTGCAGAAAATGCATAACTTGACCTTGCCCAGCTGGGCCACACCCCAGGTCTTGAAGACGCTTTCAGAGATAGAAGCATTTAATGTTGACGCTCATGTGGGAATGCACAGCAGGCAGGAGAAGGCCCGGTTGACGGGAGGTATGTTTTCATCATTGTTTAACCATAGCCTTTACAATAGGAGGATAAACACTGTAACAGCACATTATAAAGGAATCACATGGTAATTAGAATATACTGATCAGAAGAGCAGTGTGATTTAGTAGCAAAAAGGGCTGGGCTAGAATTAGGAAGACCAAGTCCCTACTCAGTCAAGACGTTTATTTGATGACTTGACTTACTCCCCGCCTCTCAAATTAGAGCTAGTCCTATCAATAGGCTGAGTGAAGCAGCTTGCCTGAAGTAGCAGATGATGAATATGGTGGTTGCTGTTTTGTCTGTTATTCCTTATCCTCTTGATGATTCCCCTCTCTTGGAAGAGAAAGTAGGGCAGGTCCCACAACCTGCCTTTATCCCCTAAAATGGTTCTCAGGTGTAATACAGAATGCTGTCCTGTTGTTATTCTATATGGGGGAATCTGCCATTTTGTCCTCCACTTCAGTCAGCAAAAGGATCTTTTTGGCTGGCTCTGTTTAACCTCATTTATTTCACAGGTTACCATAAGGGTACAGGCGAAATGAAAGGCAGCCCAAAGTTACTTAGAAGGGCAAAATTTTCATGTGCAAACCAACAGCGTTAAAGCACAGCAGTTCCATCAGACTGACTAGGCAAATTTACAATTTCACAGGCCTTGAGTAAACAATGAATTTACAATTTCACAGGCCTTGAGTAAATAATGCTATTGTAAGGTAAAGGTTCCCCTTGACAATTTTTGTCCAGTCGTGTTCGACTCTAGGGGGCGGTGCTCATCCCCGTTTCCAAGCCATAGAGCCAGCGTTTTGTCTGAAGACAATCTTCTGTGGTCACATGGCCAGTGCGACTTAGACACGGAACGCTGTTACCTTCCCACCAAGGTGGTCCCTATTAATCTACTTGCATTTGCATCCTTTCGAACCACTAGGTTGGCGGGAGCTGGGACAAGCGACGGGCGCTCACTCCGTCGCATGGATTCGATCTTACGTCTGCTTGGTCTTCTGATCCTGCAGCACAGGCTTCTGCGGTTTAGCCCACAGTGCCAGCACGTCCCTGCTATTGTAGGTGACAGTTGCTTTTTGACCTGAAAATAAGAAACCAACCTTAATGAAATCTGAAAGCAAAAGGGTATATCCAACTTCCTGATGGATAGAATTAAAGTGGAAAAGTGTTAAGGCAGGAGGAGAAGGGGACAACAGAGGATGAGATGGTTGGACAGTGTCACTGAAGTGACCAACATGAATTTGACCCAACTCCGGGAGGCAGTGGAAGACAGGAGGGCCTGGTGTGCTCTGGTCAATGGGTTCACAAAGTCGGACACAACTAAACAACAACAGCAGCACATGTAGACAGAATTAAAGTGGAAAAGTGTTAAGGCAGGAGGAGAAGGGGACAACAGAGGATGAGATGGTTGGACAGTGTCACTGAAGTGACCAACATGAATTTGACCCAACTCCGGGAGGCAGTGGAAGACAGGAGGGCCTGGTGTGCTCTGGTCAATGGGTTCACAAAGTCGGACACAACTAAACAACAACAACAGCACATGTAGAGACACATGCACATAGACAGGAATCATGGCATGATGTCACTGCCTTTGGGGAATATCTAGTTTGATGGCACCTCCATGTGGCAGAATTGGATATTTAACATGCTGGAGGAAATCTTGGGACTGAGTGGATTGATGTGACTTGTCCAGCATTACCTCCCATGTTTCTTTTTCCAGCCTGCATGTGGCATCCCCTTCCATCTGCCCCTTATTTGTAGGTCAACAAGCATTATGTCTGCCTACCCATCAGTTGTGTTTTTTACAGATCTGAGTACACTGTGTATCTGTTTTCTCTTTCTCCAGGATTGTTACTGGGTGCTATCCTGAGCAACTTCTCCAAAACAGTGTGTCGAGATCTACCTCTGAAGATGATTATGTATTCCGCTGTTAGTCTTTCTCTAGTTTAAAATGTCACAGGAGAAAATGTGGGTGGTCTCAGGATCTGTCTGCTGAGAACATGATTTTATATATTTGTTTATAAGTACAAAATTATCTTCGAGGTACTATTTAGCCCCCCCCCAAATAATTCCCAGGCAACTTAAAATTTTAAAACATTAATATTGCACATAGAAAAATTATGAGCAAGGGGGGAAATGAAGATAATACACTTACAATACTCCACAAAGCTATGGAGAATAATTTAACAGACTTGCTAGAATTATACAGCAAGTTAATTTGCCTTCCCTACTGAGTGCAGAGCTTGAAAAATGTTAGTTTCGTGCACTACAATGTCTAGAATCACCCAGCCAGCATGGCCACTGTACTCCAGAACAGATGCCTTCTCCAGCTCTAGTTGCTTTGGTCAGGATACAACTACAGATAAGGCTCTGTCCCATGTTAATGTCAACCTTGTATCTTGCTATCAAGCACACAAAAGAATCTTTGAAACAGATCAGGGCATGTTTAGCCTAGAGAAAAGAAGACCGCTCCAATAGCACTTTTCAAATACTTGAAAGGCTGTCATACAGAGGAGGGGCAGGATCTGTTCTTCACCCTCCCAGAGTGCAGGACGTGCAACAATGGGCTCAAGTGACAGGAAGCCAGATTTTGGTTGAACATCAGGAAAAACTGCCTGTTAGAGCAGTACAACAATGGAACCAATTGTCTCGGAAGGTAGTAAATGCTCCAATGCTGGATGCATTCAAGAGAAATTTGGACAACCACCTGGCAGATACCTTTTGATTTGCACTCCTGCACTGAACAAGGGGTTGGATTCGATGGCCTTATACGTCCCTTCCAACTTCATTATTCTATGATACTATGATCTTAAACTATGGCCCAGACTCATAAAGGAGAGGGTCATCTTTCAGATACTTTGCCTCCATGCTGTCGGCTTTAGGGGGAAAAACCAAGTATCTTGGCTTCCCAACCATCCAGACAGCATTAGTTGCTTCCCTTCAAGCAGCTGTAGTTTTTGATGGTTCAAAAATTATACGTCTTTGGATGACATTTATAGCAAAAATGGTTTTGAATTAGAGGGACAGTAATATTACTGGTCCTCTGGTGAAAGAGTAGAACTATTGCTTAATTCAGTTAGGTCATTTTATATTCTAAACACCATGGTCTTATGTTTAGCTCCTCAAATGGCAATGTGTAGTACCTGTACTACAAAATGTGCTACACTCACCTTTCCTCCAAGATCTTGTCCACAGGTTACCACTGAGTACATTTCAATGTACCAAACATTTCTGAGAATGATATGTGGAGTGTGAGGAAGAAGGGTTTATTAGCATGACACCTTGTCTGAGCTGTTTCTACCCCCGTTCAGCACGACAGCACCTTAATTGCTCTTCAAGGAGCCCTGGGCGTTTATAATGGTCACCCACCACCATATGCTGCCTGTCATGGATTTGAATTCTACCAAGAAACCAATAAGTAAGTTGGTTTATGGAGGGGAGGTGTATTTTGTTTTGCTGGCAACTGAACTTGTCAAATACCATTCTTGACCACATAGAAATATAGACAAAGCCACGTTGACATGCACTAGGAAAAAAAATAATACCAGACAATGCGAAGAATGCAGTCCTAACTCAAAGGCATGCTGTAGATCAGAATTAGGCACAAGAAATGGCTGCGGGAGAAGCAGCGTTACTCCAGACATAGCCACAGGAAAATGAAGGTTCAGTGCTGCTTCAGCTGGCCGATGTCACTTTAGCTGTTTCTCGGCCAGTTAAGATTGCACATTTTTGTAACAGCTCACCCAACATGAGACTAAGGAAAAAGGTTTGCAGGGTCCCCCCGCCCCCAGAATTGAAGGGTGTGTATAACACCAGATTAAAAGAAGCAGAAAGTGCACTGATTTTCCAAGGTAGCATGCAACTCTGTACCTTCTCGTGCCCAGGATTACAAAATATGTACAGTGGACATTTTGTACAGACCACAGAATTCTGAGTGTTTGCTTATAGTACAGATTTTACATAGGGCCTATGTCAATTTTGTGGTTTAGTTAACCTCTTTTACTTTACAATCTGCATGTTATTTACAGCACACCTTTTCTGGGTTAGCCAGTGAACCAGTTTCTCATTCAAAGACCAGTACCTATATTGTTGCAGCTGGCTGTCTTATTGAGTTGTCAGCATATTACTGTATATGATGAGTTAATTATCCTAATAGCTGTGGGGTCAGAAGGTGCTGAGAGTGAAGCATCACTTCCTTGAGCAATTATATAGTGTTGGGGGTAAAAAGCTGGCCCAAAGTATCTCCCATTGAGATCCTTGTTTTCTCTTTCTCCAGCTCCTTCACTGTTGCCATGTTTTACCGGAATACTAGTGATCAGCAACCCCACACACTAACCTTGCCTGGATGTCCTACACATTGCCCATTACCACTCTTCACCAAACTCACTCGTGCAGTTGTTCCACAGGACTGGGATGCCGAATGCCAAAACCCTCAGAACCGTACAGGTAACGAGAGCTTACATACACACACACACACTGTGACCCTAGTGCTGAAGGTTGAGTGACTTCCCATTTTTATCTGCCCTTCCCATTGTTTTGCAGGGCACACCGTTACAGCTCTGGCTGTGGCTGTAGGTCTCCTGAGTGTGGCTTTAATTGGCTTGGGTATCTTGCACTGGAGAAAGCGACGGGAAGATGGACCAATGGCAATGAACAACTGCCTTCACTAGAACACAAGACAGGCAACAGTTGCTGAGCATTCAGAGAAAGTGCAGCCCAATAGGCTGGAGTCTGGACCAACTTTCCCCCATAGCCCCTTTATCAAGCCCGGAGTCAAATGGTTTCAGTTCAGGAGCATTGCTGATATTAATGCTCGAGGCAAGTTTAGTGTACCAAATTAGTAGGAAAAATGGTCTAAAAAATCAAAATGGAAAGTATTGAAATGCCATCATTTGATGTCTATGGTATAGACCTGCAAGCAGTTTATAAATTCATCTGCATGCAACATTCTAAGCTGTGTGGCTGCATAGCACTAGATTAGGGCCTTGCAGCCGAGATAGAGTTGCCGCCCATTTGCTTCTGGTCACAGTCAGAACCCCACGGAACGTTGCCGGCATGCCATGCCTATGAGATCCCCAAGGACAGGTGAGAGCACTCTTCTACAGGTCCTTTGGCTTTGAAAAGAATTCTTAAGAACTGCCATTCCAGAACCATTTGCTTTTTCTATTAGTGAGGACTCTTCTTATAATACGTTTTGTACCACTTTCACCAACTCAAGTTTCTAGTCCTCTCGCTGGAAGCAAAAGACTTGAAAATACTTGGACTGCAAGTAATGGCTTAGAAATAAGAGTGTAGGGCAGAAAGATGAACTTAGGCTGAACTGTATCATTAATTCCTAATTTATGCATGGCAGTGACTTAAATTCTTTTTCTTATACTGACAAGGAATAATGTTTGTTTTGGTATTGTTTGGGGGGTTTTTGGTTTATTTTTTGGTATAAAAATTATTCAATGAAGAAGTTACGCTTATTGCACCATAACTTACTTACATCAAATAAAGAGGGGGTTTACAGTGTAGGGGAAGGGAATGCCTTGGAGAGGCAAGAATATACTACTAATTTTTTAAGATGATATTTGCATGACAATTTACTTCCTTCATTATCCCACAATGTTGTGGGCACAAG